AGGGGAGGGGGGGAGGGGGCGGGCGGAGAGACGCGGCTCCAACTGTTGAATTTTCGCTGAACCTCCACTCACCTGCGGGCGGCTCGTGCGATGGATTTGTCTTATCGGAAATCGGCGTTTGTTTTGCGTGCTGTCTGGCTGAGGCTGGCGACCGTCTGTTTGAAAGGGGCCACCCATCAATGAGACGGAGAGAAGAATTTTTAAAAGCCCCTCTACCACAGACTGCAGAATTAACTATGTACTTCGGGTCCGGACTCAAATAAAGGAGGAGAGGAGAAAAAAAAACAAACAGTGCAGAACTGAGACTCGGAAGTAGCTATGTACTGGGAACCTATGATTTTTTTTTCCTTTCTTTTAATATGAAAGATCTTTGACTATTTCACACATAGCACTGAGGAAAGGTGGTAAAAACACTCAGCAAAGCAGGAGACAGACGCGCCTCTGTGCCAGTGAGTGGATAACAGCCTTGTTTTCCTGATCCTCAGTCTCCCGGAGAAAGAGGTATAGTAAAAGTGCAGCTGGATCCCCCCCATTCTCTCTCCCCTTCTTCCAAAACATTAAATCGGAGATATATATATATATATATATTTCCCGTCTATAGAGTGAGTCAGAAAGGCGTTAGGAAGAAGCTGCAACTAATGTCTGAGAAGGGAGGAACATGAGGCGATAGCGAATGTGATTTGTTCTGCTGGATCTGACTCATCCAGCAGATTGAAACACCTGCATTTCTAGATGTGTCATTCATTTATTTCTGGCTGTTAAAATAACCTGAAATAAAACTTAGTTCCCCCTCCTCAATATCTACCTATACCTCATATTACTGGGAAAGGTAAATCGTAACAGAGCTGGTATTGATGCTGCCTTCCCCCCTCCCCCGATAAAGCAAGATGCCCAGAGAGACTGTTACAGCTTGAAAAGACTGCTAAAATGCGTAGATTTTAATATAAGCGAATTAGTCGATTAAAAGATCTGCCACTTTATTGCTCACCAAGATTGTTTTTCCTCTTCCTCTCCCCTCCCCTAAATGAAGAGGACTAGGAGGCAGTGTCATTGGAAGGAGATGCTGAATAGAAAGAAAAGAGAGGCACTTGACAGCGCAGCCCTCTGAATGCAGAGACTGTTTCCCTTTTAGCGAGAGACTAAGAGAAAGAGAGAGTGTGTAGTGGCTTTTCTTTCTTTCTTTTTTCTTTCTTCTTTTCCCCCTTCCCGCTCTCTGAATTTTCTTTTTTTTTCTCCCCTTTTTAATCTATGCGTTCAGCCATGGGTTGCCTGTTGATTTCCTCTCGACTGGAGAGGAAAGCAAACTGGAATTAAACTGCATGGAGAAAAGTGCAGCTCCTCAGACACACATACGCACACACGCATAGATACACAGAGAGAAAGGATGTGGTGGTGGCGGCGGCTACTGGCCTGTCTTAAAGAAACCCAAGTGTGCATCTGATTGAGCACAGCTTGTGATTTCTCTCAAAATATCTCTTTATTGCTAATGATGAAGATCAGCTCGTGGGTTTCTTAATTATCCCCACCACCACCACCCACGGAAGAGTGGGAGGCTGGTAGTAGAGGGAGAGAAAGGAAACTACAAATCCGGACGCTAGTGTTGTTTTTTTTTTTTTTTTTTCTCCCTCGTTTTGTGTTTTCCCTTCT